GGCATGGGGGCTGAGCTCAGGCCGAGATCATTGCGGTGCTCAGGAGATCCAGGTAAATTTTTGCTTGGATCCCAACGGACATGCCAAGTTTAGATCATAAGATTGTCGAACATCGCCTAGATGCCCTACTAGAGGCAGGGCCTGTGAAGCAGAAAGAAAGGTGTTTATCCCAGGAGAGGAGAGAGTTTGTGAAGAAAGAGGCGGCGACCCTGTAGAGCATAGGGCACATCCAAGAAGTGCAATACCTAGATTGATTGGAAAATGTAGTGTTGGGATCCAAGCCTCCGTCCTAGAGGATGTGTGTTGACTACACGAATTTAAACAAACCCTGCCCCATGGACCCATTCCCATTGCCAAACATATATCAGATGGTGGACGAGACTGTGGGGTCCGAATTGATGAGCTTCATGGATACCCTTAGTGGGTACCATCACATTCGAATACATTCGGCATATGTTGAAAAACCAGATTTATGACCTTGGAAGGGTTGTATTGTTACTTAGTCATGGCATTCGGTTTGAGGAATTTTGGAGCCACGTACACCAAGATGGTTTATCAAGTTTTCAAGACTGTCCTAGATCGGATCATGCAGGCCTATGTAGACAATATGATTGTGAAGTCAAGGAAGGCTCGAGACCATGTCAAGGACCTTGTGAAGGTTTTCAGCATCATGATGAGGGTGAATCTTCGCCTCAACCCCAAGAAGTGTACCTTTGCGGTCCATGAAAGAAAATATTTGGGGCACATGGTCAGCCAGAAAGGAATATAGGCCAACCTAGAGAAAGTCAAGGCAATTCAAGAGATGGAGCTGCCAAAGACAACTAAGGAGGTACAGTGCTTTCTTTGCCATGATCAAGAAGAGGGGAACTTTCGAGTGGACCCAGGAGTGCCAAGAGGCATTTGAAGAATTGAAAAGATATCCGACCAACCCTCTTGTGCTATCCGAACCGGAACCCGGAGATGTGTTGATCTTATATTTCGCAATCTTAGATTATGTGGTGAGTACAGTGGTAATGCGAGAAGAAGGAGGGTCACAACACCTGGTATGCTATGTCAGCAAGATGTTGAGGGATGTCGAGTTAAGGAACTCCCGAACGAAGAAGGCAATGCTGGCAGTGTACTGGACTGCGAAATGGTTGACCCCATATTTCCAGGTCCACTAGGTCAATGTTTTCACTACTGAGCCGTTGGTGTCACTGTCGTAGAGTCTAGCTGCTTCGGCTAGAATGAAAAATGGGTCGTATTCATTTGCTAGTACATAGTGCAGTTCAAGCCACGACCCTCGATCAAAGGCCAGGCCTTGGTTGATTTCCAAAATAAGTGCACTGCGAGAGAACAAGTAAGGTACCAGGAAAAAGCCCGAGAGGAGGAAAAAGGATGGTGGGCCAAGACAATAGATGGGTCATACGGGGCCCAGTCTTGTGGGGCAGGCATAGTGCTGGTCACTCTAGAGCAATTTTGGATATACTATGCAATCTGTTTCTGTTTCCGGATATCCAATAATGAAGCAGAATACAAAGCTCTCATTAGTGGGTTGCGTATTTCCTACAAGTTGGGAGCATTGCAAATTTATATTTTGAGTGATTCAAAGCTCTTCGTGAGTCAGATCAATGGGAATTCGAGGCAAGAACGAATGCAGTAGTAATGGGACTATTCCCTAGATATATCGTGTACCAATTACAGCACATATCTCGGGCCTACAATGCAGAGGCTGATGTGCTATCCAAGTTAAGTGAGGAGGCGCCGAAATACATCAGCAAGTTGACTAATGTGGAGGAATTGAAGGCACTCAGCCTTACAAAGGAGACTGTGGTCTGGGTGGCGGCAAACCCACCTGAGTGGTTGGAGCAGTTGGCCAGGTATATAGAGGATGGTGTGGCCCTCAAGACCCGAAAGAGGCCAGGGTGTTAAGAATGAGAGCCCCAAGTAATGTCATCTAGGGGGGAATCCTCTATGAACAATCATATAATGGAGTGCTACTCAAATCTTTGCGAGCGGCAGAAGCGAAGGCGGTGATCAAAGAGATACACGATGGGACCTGCGCGGTGCACCAGGGTCCATACTCGATTTCCCAGAGAGCTATTATCCTAGGATACTTTTGGTCATCAATGAGGAAGGAGTGTGAGGAGTATGATCGCAATTGCCCTACGTGTCAATCGTTTCAAAGTGTCCCGGGGAGACCTACAACCAACTACACCCCATCAGCATCGTAATCCCATTTGCGAGGTGGGGGTAGATTTGGTTAGCGTTTTGCTAAAAGGTAAAGGAAAGATCAGATGGGTGGTCATCTCCATAGATTATTTCACCAATTAGGTGGAAGCAGAATCCCTAGCTGAAATAACGGAGCAACAAATGATCAAATTTGTGGGCAAGAATATGTTGTGTAGGTTCGGTGTCCCAGTTTGAAGGGGAAAATTTACGAGTTTCCTAAGGACTTGCAGAATTCGTCACAGTAAAGCGTTCGTGTCGTACCCACAAGCCAATGGTCAAGTTGAGAATTCAAATAAGACAATTTTGGATGGCATCAAGAAGAAACTGCTCACTGAGGGAAGCAGTTGGGCTGTTGAATTGCTCAGAATCCTTTGGGCTTATTGGACAACCTGAGGAGAGCAATGGTAAATACACCATTCGGGTTGGAATATAGATTCGAAGCCCGGCTGCTAGTGGAAACAACCCTTCCGACCTAGAGGAAACAACAATATGATCCCAAGCAGAATGAAGTGAACCAGGCTGTGGAACTGAACTTCTTGGAAGAAAGAAGGGATGAAGTGAGGATCCGGGCCGAGAAAGTTTTAGGTTGGGGACAATGTTCTAAGGAAAAGAGAAAAGAGCCAGCCAAACAAAGGCGGGAAATTTGCCAAGTCATATGAAGGCTATATATTATCAAAGCGGTTTTGCACCCCGGGTATTTATAAGTTCATGACCGCAAAAGGGAGGGAAATAGATAGAATGTGGAATGTTGAACACTTGGTTAGATTTTATCAATAAGTCTACTCTAATCCTTCGCTATCAATTAATAAAGTACCAAGTGTTGTTCCATTATCCTATTTTTAAAAGGGGGGGGGGGGAGAGAGGTAGCCTCGGGTAAATAGGAGTACATGGAGGTAGTAAAGTTTTTATGCCACTTGCTAAAAATAAGGGAGGTAGATAAGATTATTCCCCATGGAGGTAGAAAAGACTATGCCTCAGTAAAGCAAGAAAAAGATTGGAGGACTTAAAGGGCCTTCACAACCATGAGTCCTTGGGAAGAACGACAAACGAACTCAAAGGGACGAGCCTTGTAAATCACCACGTGGGTCGGGAAGCAAACAAATTTCGAAGTTCGGAGCTCCTTTGGTTGAAGGTAGAAAATATTATACCTTAATCTGGAGGAAAGAGAGGTAATCCTAAATCTCACATTCCAAGTCTTGCATGAATAACTAACGGTAAAACACAATTAAGAAGAAAGATACAGTTTATTCATTATTGACTCAAACGAAGAATGATATCATCTTTGGGCCATAATAATAAATTTTATCCCAGATATACTATTGAGAGGATGAAACCGCGACTTTGGATCACGATGAGATTTTATCCCCGATCTACTATTGAAGGAGAGCGCAATCCCCTTGATTGTGGGATTGAGGAGCGATTGATGACTGATTCTTCATCCACAATTGACACACGATAGCCAATCAACCCGATAATATAGCGCACGGATTACATACCATGTACGTAATGGTGTTAGGCTATAAATAAGAGATAAATCTTCCATTATAATCCAAGCTGAATCAAACTAATACAAACATACAAGAATCTATATTATTCTTATAAGTTCTTCGCGCCACCATAATTATTGGGCCAAATGCTATCAATAAAAATATCAATATTAATGATTAAAGTGTATAATTGGAGACCATAGAGTCAATTAAAATTATTAAGCGTGCGTTCCATAGGACTTATTTTTATACTTATTACTTATTCTTATTAAAATTAGACCATATGAGATCAGATCTAATTAGATTGGATTTAATTGAATCAAATCAGACTAGATCCAATCATATCGGACCAGATTCAATCAGATCACACCAAATCAATTCCAATAATATCAAATAAGGGAAAATATAAAAAATAATAATAAGATTTTTCAAGGATTAAATAATAATTACTATTTGATTAAATCACATTACTTTATTTAAAGCTACACATACCTAAATCTTAATTAATAATAATAATAATATTATTATTATTATTTTTATATTATAATAATAATATATTATTACTATTATTATTATTTCAACTACAAATCATTATTTCTAGTAATTTCTTAGTTTGTAGGAATGATGCATGAAAGCGATGTTAAAGCTTAAAAGTTGTATTTTTCATACTTTAAAAGAGTTGTTTTAAAATGCTTGTTTGTACAAGAATTATACAAAACTTAGTTTTTAAAAGCATAAATACTTTTATACTTAAAAAGAATCACTTTTAAACTTTAAAATGGTATAATATACACATGAGTGAGTTTATGACAAAATTGATAGAAGTGAAAGAAATATTAGTGTTTAAGATTTTATATGATGTTTAATTTGTATAATGTAATATATTATTACGTAATATGAGGATAAAATGTGATATTCTTGTAGAATAACATCCATATTTTCTAAGATTTGGTTATTTTAATAGCGAGTAATAATACACTCTCTTTACTATATAAATACAAATTGATTAATCAGTTTTCATATATCAAAAAAAGTTTAAATATGACAATGATTTTTTACTCAGCTGAGTTTCTTATTTTAAATTTTTTATGTAGGAACAAATTGTGTACTTCGTAATACTTTAAAACAATTAAATTTTGTAATAATTTTATGTTTAATTTAAATAAAATCTAAATTCATTTACACCAGATTCTAATCAAATAAAATAAGATCCAATCTGATTAGACCAAATCAAATTAAATTTAATCACCTCATATGAGATTCAATAATTTCAAAAAATGTAACTCTCAACTCAAAGTGGAGGCATATTTGTGTACGCGGTGAGGAGAAGGAAAAGCATAAAAAGCGCATATCTCTGACATGAGAGCGCCATTTTTGTTCTTAGCGTCTTTTCTTACCGCTTTACTCTTCTTTCCGCCGTTGACGTTCCAGACTCTTTCCGGTGCTAGACGAGAAGAGGCGGCAGGATTTTGCAATCAGGAAAGTGAGAGAGAAGATCGATCGAAAAGGATGGATACTTCGAGCTTAGGAGGAATAAAGGATTCAGAACATGCGGCTAATAGCCTAGAGATCGAGAGCCTTGCGCGATTCGCGATCGAAGAGCACAACAAGAAAGAGGTATTTTAAATTTTCAAATCTGGTTTATCTCTATTTTTTCTTCATTCAGTGCAATCCACTTAGGGTTTCACGCTTCTGATGGATGTTGCTGATAAGCCTGGTAATTTTTTTGGTTTTGTCCGGCTTTTGTTTTTCTTATTCATTTGCAGAACGGGATGATGGAGTTGGTGAGTGTGGTGGAGGCAAAGAAGCAGGTTGTTTCTGGGGAGTTACACTATCTTACTCTTGATGTGATTGATGCCGGAAAGAGGAAGCAATACAAGGCTAAAGTATGGGTCAAGCCGTGGATGGACTTCAAGGAACTGCAGGAATTTAACTTTGTTAAAGATAGTTGCACCATTACTGCATCTGATCTGGGTGCCAAGAGAGGTAGCTTACTCTGATCCAAATATGCAGTCTCTGATATGTTTTTTTCTGAATTTAGAGAGCATTCAACGTTATATATCGTCCAAGTTTGTGGTTACTTGATTTGAATCTGCATTTATTTCATGTGTTTTATTGTATCTTGCGCGTTTTTATTGAACTGCTCATTTGACTAATTCTGAAAAAAATTACTCTCTAAAAGTGGGTCTTGCTAGTTTAAGGGCACTGTAATTTATCATCATCATTCTTGTCAATCTCCATGACATGTTTTTTGTGAATGTTCAGTTATTTTTCGAGTGAAAAAGTGGAGTATAGCAGAGGAGGCAGTGCTAACATGTGTGATTTGCTTTTCCGTTTGGCCAAAGTGATTTACTGAATTTTGTTCTTTTCTAGGTCATAGTAGAGTCCCCGATGAGGAGACACGAGTGGCTAATTTTGTTCTTTTCTAGGTTGTAGTAGAGTCCCCGGTGAGGAGATGTGAGAGGCTAATAATACTGAATGTGAGAAGTTATATAAGTGGACCTAGGAAGAGTTGGAAGGACATAATTAGACATGACTTGAGATTTCAAGATCTACCCAGGATATGACCCTAGAGAGCAATGTCTGGAGATCTAGGATTAGAGTAGTTGGATAGACCTCTATGCCCTAGTTTGTAGCTTATGCCATGGTGTTTTTGCCTCAGGCTATTGCTTGTGCTCTTGTGATCTTTATGCATGGGGTCTAGTTGCTGTGTCGCAGTATCGGTTTGTATGTTCCTTGTATCTATGCTCTTACCATGTTTATGCCAATGTGTTTACTTTGTTGCTTCTGTGTTTGAGCTAGTGGCATGGAAACAACTGATAGGCGTGTCGTAGCACCTAAAAAATTAATTTAATATTTTCCTTTACTTAGTTCCTCCTTGTTAAAATAATATTTATTAAACATGTAAATAGGATAAGTAAGGGTCGATCCCACGAGGAAAGATGCTTTTCAGGTTATGAAAATCGGTTTACTTTGTCACTTTTTATTGAGTAAAAACAACTATCTAAAATCTATAAACTAAATTAAAAGATGGGGGG